TCCTACTTCCGTAGTGATACTGCCTCGGAAACCCAAGGAGGGGTCGCTATGAGTCGGGGACGACTCGACGGCAAACAACAACAACAACAACAACACATATATATATACACACATACATATATATACACACACATACATACACACACACACATATATATACACACACATATACACACATATACACACATACATATATATACACACACATATACAGACACACACACACATATGTACTTGTAAGATGGGTACTCACCCACTGGCTTGATCATTTATTTCTAGAGTTACACTAGCTTGGGAGTGGGAGGAGATGAGGGGATTCAATTTGATTAAAAGAGAAAAACAACATATGTATATATATGTATACTAAATACCCTATCTTATGTGAATGTAGAAGAAGAAACACCTATTTGACCAGAAGGATCAGAGAATGCTTTAAGGAGGAATTGGCACTTTAGTTGGTCCTTGAAAGATGAAAAGTGTGAGAGAAGGGCATGCCAAAGAAGTGAATCATCGTGGACAAGGGTATGGAAGTAAGTAAGTTTAAAAAAAAAAAAAAAAACTCACCGCCATCGAGTTGATTCTGACTCATAGTGACACCCTTTGGTTTTCCAAGGCAGTAAATATTGATGGAAGATTGCCCCATCTTCCTTCCGCAAAGTGGTTGGTGTATTTGAACCACCAGCCTTCTAGTTAGCAGTCAGATGCCTTAGGCCCTGTACCACCAGAGCTCTTTAAAGAGGTGTATGGCATAATAAATAGTCCATAAGGAATGAAGCAGAGTGCCTGAGGCAGGATAGGGCCAAGCAGAGAAGCAGAATAACAGGCAAGATGGAAAAGGCAGACTGAAGGTCACTGTGTGTCATATAGAACAAGAGGACTTGATTGTCCAGGCAAACAGTTCTCACCATCTCGTCAGGGAAGAAGCAAGGTCCTGCAACTTGGAAGCCTATTTAGGGTTAAAGAGGAAGTTAACCCAAAAGAGGAGAGTAATTACTTAGGGAGTCCAGGAAGCAGAATTCAGATTTGTTTTTTGCTTTGTCATTCTCTCCTACTATCCTCAGGCCCTCAAAAAAAAAACTATGTTCAATAAGATTGGTTGGCCTTAGTCAATTCTTGGAGCATTAAAGGAAGGACCCAGTCTTAGGTATGATCTTAACAGGACTGGGAGAAGGGCTGCAGTCTGGAAAGGCTTTACCAAAGAGATTGGATAAGACTAGAGAGGCAGTAGGGAGCAAATGAGGTGGTGATGAGAGAATAGGAGGGCAGTCTTATGGAATGTGGAGGCATAATGTGGAGGCATTACTCAGAGATTTCCAGAAGGACTTAGAGAAAGCAACCTAGTGAAAGAAGAAAGAAACTTCCTGCACTTAAGCAAGGTGGAAGATGGAAGTATCAATTAGACCTCAAAGAGCATCTTGACCACAGAATGGAGAGAGTGGTGTCATTTATCTTTTAACAAAGTCTCAAAGGAATCCCTGGGTGGTGCAAATGGCTCAAGGAAGCTCATGGCTCAGTAAACCCTCACTCACCTTCCAAAGGCTCTCTGCTGGTATTGCTTCCACCCTTGGGCCACAGAGTCTGGCTGCAGCGTCTCATCCAACTTCAGGGTCCATCTGGCCCAGGGTTCCTCCTGTTGAATCAGTTCTTGAAAGATCTGCTCCCATGAGCTAATATCCAAAGCCATTCTCCTCCTCAGAGACTGAAAGTTAACTTTACTTTGAATTTTACTAGACACTTAGCAACAGAAAAAAGAAAGAAAAAAAAAAAAGTTTCAGTTTCTGTGTTTGAACACACATTCACATTTATTTTACATTTGTTTGAGACCGTATGAGTGCACAGAGCAGGTCTTTGTTATGAGGACAGAGAACACTGCCATTTCACTGAGAGCTGGGTGACTTTTAGGTTTCCATTAACTGTTGGTGCCTTATCATAAACTAGTTAAAAAGTTTTGAGAGATAACTATAAAAAAGCAAAGATCCCTAAAGGAAACTATGTTGTTGTTATGTGCTGTCCAGTCGGACCCGGCTCATAGAGACCCTTCCTTGGGTTTCCGAGGCCATATCACGATGGAAGTAGATTGCCCAACCTTCCTCAGCACAAGTCAATTCTGGAAAAAAACAAAAAAAGAAAGAAAAAGAAGGCATAGAAAAACCTAGATTCCCAACAGTTTAGAGCTAGAATGAATCTACAGGATCATCTAATCTCCCCACACACATAGGTTTCCCAAGACTTACATTGCTCATCACATCTTGTGCTCTTTCTACTGGGTCTGGGTGTCTTTTCAGAATCCCTCTGATCACAATGTTCTAGTCAGTAACTAACAACTGATTGGTAGATGAAACTTGTCTGTCATTCTTACAGTAGTCCAGCTTCCTTCTTTTAAAAGTTGCAGAAACTGAAAGCAAGATAGATGTAGTATCACCAGGCTAAAGTTCAATTTTTGTAATCTTAGGCACACACCCATTTTCAGAATGTCACATGGTTGATCACAAATAGGTCTAGCATATAACTTAATGCAAAGAAATGTATTCTTGGGAACATTTGAGACTTGGGAAGAAAGTAGGTTAGACATGAATGGTAGGGATTGATGATGGCAGAACTGGAAAAGAAGGTGAAGGCCTTGTGAGGTGGGTACTCACCCCCTTGCTCGATAATTTATTTCTAGAGTTACTCTAGCTTGTGAGTGGAAGATGAGGGCATTCAATTTGATTAAAGGAGAAAAACAAAAATCAAGAAGTGTAGTCCTTAATATAACAACACATTTATTTACATTTAAAAAATATCTGTGACTAGTTAGCATAAGTCCTGGAGGTGCATGCAGAAGAGATGGGCAAATAATTTAAGGTGATTGAGATGAGGAACAATGGGGCTGGATAACCCCTTGCCTAAATTTATTATTTCCTGCTTCAGTGTTTCAGAGTAAGGAGACATGAATTCTGGATTAGGAGTCCCTAGTGTTTGATGATGAAAGACATATATCTTTATCTCTCTGATCCTGAGATAACTTGTTTATAAGTGCTAGAGCAAGAACTTAAATTTCTCTTACGCTACACTAAATCACATGGAAGTATAGAGATTTCTTGAAGAATGAGTGAACTAAAAGTAGAGGAACTAGGCAGGAGGCAAGAGGAGCTATTTGGGGAAATCTGAGTGGATTTCTTCCAAAGACTTCATTCTCTGGGCTGAGGTACATGCTAGGAGGAATCATTGCTCCAGTTTAGGTCTACCAATACCAGTACCAGATTCTACTGACTTGACTCCAACTCATGAAGGTCTTATGTGTGTCAGGGAGCTCTGGTAACATAGTGCCTAAGGCACTTGACTGCTAACCAGAAGGAAGATGAGGCAATCTACTTCCATAGTGATACTGCCTCAGAAACCCAAGGAGGGGTCGCTGTGAGTTGGGTGCGACTCGATAGCATATAACAACAACAACAACAATGTGTGTCAGAGAAGAACTGTGCTCCATGAGGTTTTTAATGGCTGATTTTCAGAAGTAGATTTCCAGGTCTTTTTTCCAAGGTGTCACTGAGTGGACTCCAAACCTTTCAGCTTTTCAGTTAGCAGTGAGTACATAAACCATTTGTACTACCCAGTATGCTGGGACTCCCCAGTTAGGACTACATCTCAGCAAAAGGTCAGCCTGGAGGGCAAAGAAAGTATTGAAATCACATTATCTTGTAATCTCAGTACTGGAAGGGCTGGCTCTGCTCCTCGCCACCGCCCCTACATTACATGTTATGGATGCTCATACTACTTACAACGGTAAACAAGGGATTTAAGGAAAAGCAGAATGAGGCATTGTTTTGACAAGATCAAGTAAGGCATTGATTAATACCTTTAATGTCCTAGTCCCATGGACCTTACTCTCAGGCACAGCACAGTTTAGCAAAGAAGAGAGGCATGTAAACAAACACTTACCTTCATTTTTCCCATGTCTCACTTTTTTCAATTTACCCTTTTAGTTAAGAGCATAGATCTGCAGCCAGAACTGTCCAAGTTCATGTCTTATTCCCACCACTATTCTGTTCTCCTCCTCTTCATCCTGTTGGTGAAAGAGAGAGTCCTGACTTGGGTTATGGAGATAGACAAACACATGATATGTGACACCCAACACTGGACACATAATATTGACATCAATTTAATAGCCACATACACTCACAATCAGAGGAGGAGACCACAAGCCATGGAGGGAGATACAGTCAGTAGCAGAGTGAATACGTAGGGTCTGCAGGAGGAAGGCTTTATAGTAACAAGACAGAGTAATCCCTGTTTCCCTTGGGAGTATGTGATTGGCTTGTTCAAATAGTTTCTAGGGCTGGCAGAGAAGTGAAAGCTGGTAGGTTGAGGACCAAGTAGAGTGCAACTGGCTCAGTTGCTAGGTCTTGGGAGAAGGAGATCATTTCCCACTGGGTGGGGGGACATATCTAGTGAGAGCACAGTGACTTTAGTTGACTTTTGTGTCTCTAAGCCTCAAAGATGCTAAGGCAGCACATGAAATTTTAAGCCTTACAATACACAAATTACTACCTCATGGCCTGGGGGCGTAGTAGAGAAGGCATTTTAGCTGCTAACAAGAAGGTCAGTGGTTCAAACCCACCAGTCCCTCTGCAGAAGGAAGATGGGGCAATCTACTTCCATAAAGATTTACAGCCTTTGAAACCCAATGATGGTCGCTATGAGTCGGAATTGACTTCATGACAGTGAGTTTTGTTTGTTTGTTTGTTTTTGGTGGTCTTGGTCAAGAATCTTAACTATTCTATGCCTCAGTTTCCCCATCTAAAAAGTGGGGTAAATAATACAACTAACCATGCAGGGCTATTTAAGCATTGAATGAATTTAAAAATACTTGGCATTTAGTAAGCAAATTGAAGTGTTTGCTATTTTTGTTGTTGTTTTGTTACTTGTTTCTTTGTAAGTTATCATAAAGTCTTTCCTAAAGTGGTGGAACACAACAAAATAAAATTTAAAATATTTCTTTAAAAAAATAAATGCAGCACAAGGTAAAAAAAAAACCATAATTACTCAGAAAGCACAACAATCACTTATTGATCAACAATAACTTATCCAAACTGGGCAGAGATATGCATTCCTACCAACCCCTATTATCCAGTCCCCCTCCCTCATGCACATTCCTGAGTGAGACCAGCTCTTCTTCAGGACACATATCCAACCCCTGTCTTGATGGCCACCTACGGGTAAAAGGTGAAATAAGGAGTGATATGGAGTGTGAAGTCTGGAGTCAACAGCTGCTCAGGCCCAGAGGCTAAACCTGCTGAGAAAACCATTCAGGAAAACAAAAGTCACACTAAAATGACAACCAAAGAACCAGAAAAAAATGTGTAAATTCAAAAAAACTAAAGCAAAAAAATGTAAGCTTTCAAAGGAGCTATTTCTTACATGATTTCTATGAAAACCTTCTTGGCTGCAGGTCTCTGGAAAGTACATTGCTGGGATACTGAGGTTTGTCTAGACAGAAAACAATTTGGATATTTTTGGTAGAAAGGCCTCTGTGAACTTGAAGGAAGCTGAGCCCCGGGGCGGATAGATGACTAACCCCAGGTACCCAGCCAGTTGAGGAAGCCTATAACCAGAGCCCACAATTCCCTATCTTAACAGTCATTTCTTCCTATTCAGCAGAGGCAGTTTCAAAATCAGTTGAAATTATTCAGGCTTGATTCCATTGCTGTGGTGAAGATACGTACCCTAAAAAGTAGGTTCTTTAACCGCTTTAACCCTCATCCACTTCCGCCTTTGTTCCAGGCCTGACAGGAAACACACAGGTCAAAAGCAATGCTTTGTAATTGGCCTTTGTCTTGTTTGTGAGTCATTTTACCCAATCTCTTAGTCCTGCCCCTAGGGACCACCTTCTGTATTAGTTACTGTTCTGGTTACCTAGTGCTGCTCTGACAAGAATATACCACAAATGGGATGGCCTTAACAAACAGGAGTTTATTATCTTACAGTATGGAGACATCTCTTCCCTCAGACAGCTGCTGGCTGCTGAAGCTGACAAGCTCAAGGTTGACAAGTAAAATGGCACAGTCCTGATGTTACCAAACCACATGGCAGGCCATTAATTCAAGTCTATTGAAAGTCTCAAGGTCAGCAGACACTGGCAGGCTGCTGAACAATGACATGGCTACATGCAGGGTTCAAGCATGCCATAAGCTAGAGACCACTCCCAAAGCTGTTTCTTATATACAGGAAGCAGACTACATCCCTGAAGCATCTTACTCAGCTGGTTGTGGTAGATCCCACCATGGAGTTGATTGCCAGTCTCATCATGGGGAATAACTACCACCAGCTGCCCAGCCACTCAACTAGGCCCAGTCAAGTTGATACACAACCTTAACCACCACAGTTACCTACAGCTACTATATCAAGTATTAAAACTAGGTGGCTTAAAACAACAGAAATTTATTCTCTCACAGTTCTAGACATTAGATGTCTCGATTAAGGGTCTTGGTAGGATCTGCTTTCTCTGAAGGCTCTAAAGACAAGAATCCTGCCTTGACTCTTCAAGCTTCTCATAGTCCCAGATGTGCCTAGGCTGTGACTGCATAACTCCAATCTCTGTCTATTTCTGCATAGCTGTCTTTCCTCTGTGTCACGCTTTCTGTATCTTCACATGGTGTTCTCCCTGTGTTTCTCTCTCTCTCTCTCTTTTTCTCTTCTTACTAA